GAAAGATAGATCTCTCACACAGCCTGGAGCTGAAATGAGCAGGGATTTATAGGTCATGACCTGCTCTTTGAGCTGTGCCCATCAAGTCAGTGAAGCCACTGAAATAAAGGAGATCTACGCTTCTTTTAATAAAAATGCCAGTAATTTTGGCACCAGTTGCTTAGCTCTTTGAGTCAGGTCTGGCAATTCTAGACATGAGGGATGGCAAAGGAGAATGAACACAGTAATTGCAAAAGAACAGGGGAGTGGAGTGTTAAAGGAGTGGAAGGTGATAGAATCAAAAAGACAAAATAAAATGGTTCTGGGGCTTCAACTAGTGCAGAGTGCAGCTAGCAACCCATCTACATACAGTAGGGTTCGGTTTTCCCATCTACTTCTCCAGGGTAACTGAACTGGCTATTGCATTGTTTCCAGGCGCAGTTAAAGTGCTCATTTTGAATTTTAAAGACAAAATGGTGTGAATCATAAGAAATGTCTTCTCCCCTATAGCCCAAGACATTTTGCTGCCAAGGCAAAGAACAGGTTGGCACACCTTCAATTCTGTATGTAGAAGCAGAGTGGGCTGGCGGTTGAATCTTCCTTCAGTGTTGGCAATGGGACAAATTTCTCCGCTGCTCCTGAATTTGGCAACAAGGTGTGTGGCACACCTAGCTTCTTCCTCTGAAAAGAACAGTTGCCACCTCCAAGCAGATTTCATCACACACAGAAGCTTGATTAACTCTGGTAAGAAACACGCCCTTCTCTGTGGAAGCCCCGGTGTCTAGAACAGTGGTGTCCAACCTTGGCCCCGTAGACTACAGCTCCCAGAAGCCTTCACCACCACCTCTGCTGGCCAGGATTTCTGGGAGTTGAAGTCCAAGAACATCTGGAGGGCCAAGGTTGGACACCACTGGTCTAGAACATATACCCAAAATAAGAACTTCTAAAAGGGAACTTTTTTCACTGCTTTTTTTTTTCCAGGAACAGCTCATGACATTTCGTTTTCTGAGGACCGTTGCTTTTTAATAATATTTGCCTTTACCTGCCCTGGTTCTCCGGTTTCTTGATTTATAATCTGACTGTCTCTTTTAGCACTTGTGCCTTTATTGTTATACTTTGTGAAAGAACAGCTCATGAATTAACGACGTGTCCATAATAAGGCATAGAGGAAGGCTACAATACAGTCACTGGCTGAAATCCAGTAATATCATTACACCAGTAAGGGTGATTATGTCAACAACCACAACCTTTTATCACTAATTAAAGTTTCTGATCCCTCCCCCAGCACCCAGGTTCCCTAGGGGTCACATTTGCTGTCTGAAACTCATCACCAGCCAGTCCCAGCTCCAGCAGCAGGACAATAATTTGGATTTTCTGACATTATATATGCCTTCTTCAAATCCTGAGGCTCCCAGGACAAAAAGAATCCCTTGGGAACCTCAGAACCTTGGAGGAGAGACCTGGAAACTTTTAATTTTCAATAAAATGTATTTATTTTAAATTAATCAGCTTGCAACATAATCATCCTTGCACAACATAAAGTTGCACTAAAAAGGATTTTGGCACTCAGTTCTTGAAAGCACACTTCCTATGCACACTTCTCAGGACGAGAACCTCGACCATTTGAAAAATAGAATTTTTCCCTCACTGTAATTTGTGGAAGGAGATAAAACAGTTTAATTTGTCAAATTAGCATTCACTAATTTGTTAATTAAATTGTTAGTTCAGAAATAAACAGTAGGGTTCACAGATAACAGCTAGCCTGTCATACTTTTTAAATGCACCTTTAAATGTAATGTTTCCTCAATCTGGCACTTCTTAAAGATGAATTACAAATCCCATAACATCACTGTACACTGGGGTCAATGCCTCTTATTCTGTGTAGTATTTGCAGCTAATGTCACATCTGTGTTTCATCTTTCTTCCTGGTTATTGAAAATTGATTTACGTTACATTGAAAGCCTGATGGAATAAAAGTGTTGTTATTACAGTGTATGCTATAAAGTTGCTTTTGATGCATGTGTGTTGTGTTTGTGTTTAGTCGTTTAGTCGTATATGCTATAAAGTTGCTTTTGATGCATAGCAACCCTATCAAGTAGTGGCCTCCAAAGGTTTCTCAAGTAATAGCTATTTTTGCCAAAAAAATATGGTGTTACTTGCTTATTTTGAATTATTGATATTTTTTCCACCAATTTTCACTCATCTTTCATCATAATCTAGATGGCATTTTTAAAATTTCAGATTTACACCCTGCAGATATATCACAATTAAGTGGCTAATGACATACCTTCACTTATTTTTCTAAGTTCTGGTTCCTGATTCCAAACATTAGGTTAGCTATATCTGCAAAGAAAGAGATGTCATCTCATTATAATTTTTCCTTTAAATATAACTTTTAAAATCATGAACTATCTGATGGGGAAATTAATAGGTCGTTGACCTTTGCATGTTGTATTTTTGAGAGCTGGGAGCCAAGTTTTGTTGAGCTTCATACTTTCCTCTTTTTTGTTGAAACAGTATTTTGAATACTGAGGACAGGAGCTAGACATGAAATTCTATTTCAAAACACTGAAATACTGGACAACACCAGCAATCACTACGTCAGACTGCACAGGGAAGCCATTGAAATCCACAAGCACCAGCAGAACTTCAATAAAAAAGAGGAAAGTGTGAAGCTCAACAAAACTTGGCTCCCAGCTCTCAAAAATACAGTGTGCAAAAGGTCAACGAACTCTACCCAGCCATAAGGACCGGGGATCACTACACATAAAAGACCAGCTAATGTGACATCAACCACAGGAACAGATAATCTCTTCTCCTTAGCACAACAGTACACCCACAACAATACACACTAATCACCCATCTACAGAAAAAGACAAAAGCCTATCTCACAGCCATAAATACTGCATTCCCAAGCCAACTACACCAGAGCACAGGTTGCTGTCCTCTGAAGATGCCGGCCACAGAGACTGGCGAAACGCTAGGAAGAACAACCTTCAGAACATGGCCAAAGAGCCCAAAAAACCCAGAACAACCAATATAGTGTTGATTAACAAGAGGGGAAAAAACCTTGTTAGCATTACAGTGAAGGATTAATTAGGTCAGGGCACAAGATTACTGCCACTATGCCCCATTAAGCAAAACAAAATCAATTAGTTAAATTCAAACTACTTAAAACCAACAATCAGTCTCCATCAGTTTACATCTTACTTCTTTCAAACAAATGTCTAGGAGTACACTACAAAAGATAAACACAACGTGTAAATGGAAATGGGAATCCACTAGACAGATTTGGAACATTATCATCTTGCTTTGAGCAAAAACGGGAAATGCGTTCTTGAAGAGTTTCACAGCTGGGATCCAATGGATGGTGTGGGTTTTCTGGGCTGTTTGGCTGTGTTCTGGAGGTTTTTCTTAACATTTCACCAGTCTCTGTGGCCGGCATCTTCAGAGGACAGGAGCTAGAATTCTGTCTGTGTTCTAGTCTAGTATGTGGGATTGTTGAGTATTTGTAGCTCTGTGATCAGAGGTTTTGTTCTTTTCAGGAGATTGGGTGTTTCCTGTGATAAGGGTGTTTTTTGTTGTGGGCGTTTTTGTTGTAATGGGGGGGAAGATGATCTGTCACTGTGATTGATGGGTGTCGTTAGCTAGTCTTTTGTGTGCAGAAATCACAGGTCCTTATGGCTGAGTAGAGTTCATTGACCTTTTTGCAGGGTGAATTTTTCAGTGCTGGGAGCTCAGCACTATGGGGATTGCAAGGGTCCATCTTGGTTCTCTCTCTTCTGTGGAAACCAGAGATTCTCCGCTGCTCCGTAGCCTCCATCTCTCCTCCAGAGAGCCAGTCAAGCTCCCCCATTTCTCACAGGGGCTCTCAAACAAACCCGTTCCAGCGCATTTCCTCAGGGGTTCCTGAGAACGCAGTCGACAACAGCAACAGAAAACTGGAAGTCTCCCATACTCCAAATGTTTTATTTTTAAAGTTAAGTCTGTTAATTTTCAGGGACATGAAAATGAAAAAAGAGACACCTGAATGGTAAGTTCTTAAATAACAATAAATGAATAACTTCAGCATAAGGCTCCCCTGTGGCCCACTGCAACTGGAAGTACTTCAAGCAAGATCACCTCCCATCACTCTTTCATATAAAGATTTCATAAAAATGTGTACTCTGAGTTTCCATTATCCAAAGAGCATATTAACTGCTTTTATGGTAAAGGTTTGCGACTTGAAAATGAAACACAACGTCCCTCAATTAGGGACTAGAATTACTTTTGAAGTCTGTTTTTAATTGACCACATTCAAAAACCAGAGGTTGGGAAAATCACTTCCTTGGACTACATTTCCTAAGATTCCTAGACCAACTTGACAGGACAGAGGATTCTTGGTGTTTTAGTTCCAAAAAATATCCTTCTCCAAGCTCTGGGTTTAAAACATAGGTCAGGAAATGATGTGCCATGTAAAGTCTAGAAAGCTGTCTTCTGATGCCCACAAGATTTTCTTAAATCCTCAAAATCACAAAATATATATAAAAGCAGTATATTCGAAATGTCAGAGAATGAAAATTTTATGACCAATAACCTATTTGGGAGGGAAATACAAATACCTAAGTACAGTGGTGCCTCGCATAACGAGTGCACCGTTTAACAAAGAATCTGCATACCAATGCGGATTTCCCCATCGCTAATGCGAGGGCATCCTCGCATTGCCATGGGGAAACAGCTGTTCGGCGGTTCCAAAATGGCCGCCGGAACACTAAAAATGGCCACCGAGACACCCAAAATGGCCGCCGGACACCCAAAATGGCTGCCAGAACACGAAAAATGGCCACCGGGACACCCAAAATGGCCGCCGGGACACCCAAAATGGCCGCCACAACATGGGGGAACATCGGAGACCGGTGAGTTTTGGGCCCATTTGGAACGCATTAAACGAAGTTTAATGCGTTCCAATGGGTTTCCCCGTCCCACTTAACGATGTTTCCCCATAGCGAAGGTTAATCCGGAACGGATTAACCTCGCTATGCGGGGCACCACTGTATTTCTTTGCTCTGGCAAACACCCCCACACAGAAATGTGCAACTAGTGACTAGTCACACAGCCAATCTTGCAAACAGTGAAAGAACTGATACACAAAGAAGGACCTGCTGGAGCAAGAGAAACATCTACAGTAGTGCCCTCTCACTACTCCATGTTTCCTCAACAGGATACTGGATTGTGGATTTATGTATATATTTTAAAGCTGCAAAAACCTCCCTTAAATAACTTTAACGGCAGCCACCTTTAAAGAAAAATCAACAGTACTGAAATATTCCTAATGACAACAGTTCTAAAAAAAACCTTTCAAAATCAACACTGAAGCCAACAATAAACAATTTTCTCAGAAGAGCAGGAAAACAATACTAGCATTCAGTGTATTTAAAGAAAACTGAGATGCCACGTTTCTGAAGCACTCAAAGTATTTTATCCTTCAGAACTCATTTGTAAGCAGTGAACAATCAATCTTTTAAAAAAATGCAGGTACAAAACTGGTAAAAATTAAGGGGCCAGTCTGCTCTTACAGACATATGTAATCCTGGGTAACTACATCAGCTGCATAGGAGCAAAATAACACTTCCCACAATTAGGAAAGGGTTCCAGTTTCTTGCACAATTTATCACCCTTCTGTATGATTATCAGAAGAAGAATTATATGATTTTTTAAAAAGATCACTTATTTGCATAATTAGCAAAGGTCACAGAACCAGCCTAGTCTCAGAACAGAATTTATGTTATGATAGTACAGATGGCTTTTCTATTTTAAAACAAGTAAAATTACACACAGACATTTTACTTTGGTACAATGAAAACAAACCTTTATTACGAACAATAAAAATGGCAAGACTAACTCTAATATACGTAGATCAAGTAAGAAAACACGTTCCTCAACTGGCACTGGACGACAACTCCAATCATCCCTCACCATTGCTGGTTAGGGATAATGAGAACTTCAATTCACCAACCCATTTCTTGTCCCTAAACTAGGCAAACAGAACTACTGGGGCAGAAACTTGTTCTTCCAAAATAAAAATTTACTGTGCAGAAATCCATACACTCCATTTCAGTTTTATTGGACCTTATAGTTTTTGCTACAGATTCACATTCTTAGGACCACCCAATTTTTCCTTCTTAAAAAACACTATTGATACATTTTAAAGATTCTATCCACCATTCATTGCAGATTTATACAACTGTTAGTGTCATAATTCAAGTTATACAATTCATTTCAATCTGTTAAGCAGAATAGCTGTCTGACTGGCTGATAACTGAGCTGAGTCACAAATGACATTTTTATCCCCAATGGAATGAACCAAACACTCTTACTTGCCACAGTTGGCTCTAGCAAATGGTTTCTGCCCCTTCCTCAGTAACAGTCATCCACGTTTCTCTTTCTGCCACACCATCCAGTGATGGACGATGGGCATGTGTTGAAAAACTGCCAACTTCCGTTGTAAGCTACCTGGTCACTTATTAAGTAGGGACCCCAAAGGAAAAGCAAGGGGTAGTAAAGGTGAAGCACTGCAGGGAACATCCAAAACAGTGGCATAAATCCAGTGCAGTGCTGACGGTGTGGGGATTTTCACCCCTTTCTTTCTCAAGTTTATACAGATGCTAACAACATAGTTTTTTTTCAGCCCTCTAGAGCAGGCTTTTATAAAGCTCAAGTGTGGAGAAAGGATTGGGAGAGCAGATGGCCAAAGCTGGATATTGTCCAGCATCTCCACCAAACTGCAGCTTATTTTCTTGATCAGAGAGTCCTGTGTGCCAGCTATGATCTTTGCTCCATCAGCTTAATTTATCATTCCCCACAAACCATAATTCACATCTTCTTCATTTTCTTCTTGCTCCGCTGATTGAAAACTGGCGAGGAACCCATCAGGCTATCAGCAGAATGAGAACCGTAACTGCTCTCAGAGCCATTCGGGCTCTGGGGCATGCCAGCTTCACTCATTCCTGACATGGGCTCCTCAAACACATCACTGCTCAGAACCCCATGATGTCCATGAACGTTGCCTTCCTCGCTCTCTTGGGGCTCCATTTTCACAGGGGCCAAGTTCCACAGAGGGGAAGTGTTTACCTCACCACCTGTTGGGGGAAAAGAGGAGGGGAAGAGAGGGGTTATTAATCAAAGAGGAATTGACATAAATATGTGTTGAGGGAAACCAAGGGAATTTATGACCTGGCTAGTTTGAGTCAATAACATATGATAGGCCTCTGCAGCTTTGTGCGGGATGCTACAAATGTCAAACTGCTCCCCACCCAAACAAAATAACTAGAAGTGGGCAGGAGTCCACTTCGGTTTTGAAAAATAAAGTTTTTGTGTTAAATGGTGCAAGAGTCTCAGCAATCTATTTAAAAGCCAAATCACACAGCTCTTTGTGCTTTCCAGAGGTGGCAATTCACCCAGTTTTATGGAGAAAGATATCTGGAAGCTGCAAAAACATTGTAGCATTTTGTCTGTGGCTGTGTTAAGGAGAAGACCATTCATATTTTCAGCATCTTGTGTAATAGCAGGGTGTCAATGATTCTTTTAAAATCAAATTGATTTTAATTAAAAAAATCATTCTTTAATCATTTAAAATAATTTTAAAAAGTGACTTTTTTGATTTAAATCATAATTTAAATCAAATCCACCTTATGTAATAGTCTTATTCATCTGGAAGCTTCGAGAAGTTCCAGTGAATTCCAAAAATAGGGTGAACAAAGAAGTTGTCAAGGAAGCTGTCAGACCTACAGTTCAATGCATTCCAATGGGGGGGGGGGAATACCCCAAAAATTAACGAAGAGTCAAAACAAAGCCAAATTAAGTTTGCAAAGGTTTTACAAGGTGCGCTAACGATCCCAAGCATTTAAAACAGTTTTTGAACATTTTAAGACACTTTAAAAATAGCGAAAACGGACCTGTCAAAACCATTGAAATGCACTGAATAGGCTTCAATGCATTCCAATGGGGTAAACATTGTTTCACTTAGCGATGTTTCCTATGGTGATTTTCGCTTAAGGACGGTAATCCGTTCCCATTGGAACGGATTATCTGGTTTTCAATGCATTCCTATGGGAAATGGTGTTTCACTTAGCGATGTTTTCCCATAGTGATGTTTTTTTGGGAACCAATTAACATTGTTAAGCGAGGCACCACTTTAGTACCCACAGAATACACAGGGAGGACACCCTTCAGTAACCTGCTTGGCAGCCCACAGAAGACCTTGTGATGAAAACAAAGATTACCAGGAAGGTGCAAAATGCCTACACTTTTAATTAATAATTACTACTCCACTAATAGAGAATCACAAGACATTTGATATACTGCCAAGATTTTAACCTCTTGCTTCCAAGCGGTCAAACATTTATATCAAACATTCCAGCTGAATCGCTCACATCCCCAAACAGCCTAAGAATAGCCTGCAGCCTCCCCTCCCCAGAACAGGAGAATTTCAAATGTTTGAGGCATTGTAACAAAGCAACGAGCTACAGCGGAACATCAAACATATCTGTGTTTTCAAAAGATCAGACTTCTTATTCTCTAAAAAGTGAAATAGAGTCTGAGATTTGGACTCCTTTGGAGAGACAGACAACAAAGGTTAAGGTTTAAGAGACCTTAAAGTCTGGGCTCTAAGATATGGTAAGCTTCTAAGTGAAAAATATATCACTGTAGGGAACACTGAAGTGTATTAACATGGAAAGTAAAATAAAAGAAAACAGAATAATCCCCTTTGGGGGCAAGAGTTTTTAAAGAATGTTTCTTCAGTGAATTGGAGTTCATGAAGTTGGTATGTCTGAAGCTCCTAGTGGATTAAATGGCTGACCAGGTGATGACCATTCCTACACCTGCAAGCCTTGTGCATTGTTATACCTCAGTCTAGAGCAGCCATTCTCAATCTTATTTGGGCTACAGACATAAATACTGTATGAAAGAAATATAGGCGAAATCAGGATGAACTAAGTTGCATAAAGGTAAAGTTTCCCCTTGACACTCAGTCCAGTCATGTCCAACTCTAGGAGGTCGTGCTCATCCCTGTCTCCAAGCCATAGAGCCAGCGTTTGTCCGTAGACAGTTTCTGTGGTCACGTGGCCAGCGTGACTAGACATAGAACGCCGTTACCTTCCCACTGTGGTGGTATCTATTTATCTACTCGTATTTCCATGCTTTCAAACTGCTAGTTGGCAGGAGCTGGGACAAGCGACGGGAGCTCACTCCGTCGCATGGATTTGATCTTACGACTGCAGGTCTTCTGACCTTGCAGCACAGAGGCTTCTGCGGTTTAACCCTCAGCGCCACCACGTCCGTTCTAAGTTGCATAATGAACCGTATAATGTGGTGTGTGAAGAATTGTTTACAGTCTGTGGCCTCCTTGGAATGTGCCAGGGCCCCCCAGGGGACCATATGGCAGCCATCGAGAATGTCTGGTGAAGTTTAGAAAGTACAAAGCATTCCAGTTCAGTGGTGTTTGCCAAATAAGCTATGCTTGTTAAAACCTCTGTTTTAGCAGGTGTAGCTTACCTCTACGAAGAGGAAGCCAGTCTTATTTTTCACCTGCCAACTTTGAAAAAATATAAAGATTCTTTGTGGTTTGGGCTCTGACAGATTAACATGGTAACCTGCAGTAGAAACCAAGTATACATATTTCAGTGGGGAATTTCGGGTACTAAAACAGGGTTATAGTGGAAAATAGCCTTGTTCCTGTAATAACACCTACTTGAAGATAATGGCCAAAATCCTGTTGGTGTAAAGTTACATTGCTGGGCCAGATGATGTCATCACCCAGCACTAGAAATATTTAATTTAATTGGATTGAAAGCCTTCTAATGCCCCCACCTGCCAATTTCAGGTTGCAAGATTCCTTAGGTCAACCTTTTTCTCTTGGGAAGCCTTTGGGAGCCTTAGGATGGCGGGAGTGAGGAGGCTTTAATAGCCAAAAGCTGCCACTAGATTTTGCCCAATAAGCAACATATCATATTAATCTGAATGAGAAGTACAATAGATCTGAGTAGATACACCCAAAACTGAATGGTGCTTTGTACAGTGCAACTGTTAAATCCCTAAGTGAAAGAAAACTTCCCCATGCATCCTCTACTCTTAACATCATCCACCATGGGGGGGGGGGATGAAGATCAAATACAAAAGGAAGAACCAAGAAATGAAAAGAATCAGAATAAAGATTTGAGTTGTTCATGGGGAATTGGTAAGATTTAACATGTAGACATTTCAACAGCTCTCCGGCACAGGCACTACCTTTAATTTAGAAGAAACATGCCACATCATCTGTCATGACTCTAGTGTCTTAGAATTTAATATGTTCCACCTGAAATGTTTACATAGTACAGTGGGCCCTCGACTTACGAACTTAATCCATTCGGGGAGGACGTTCGTACCCCGGAAAGTTCGTAAGTCGCCCTACCATTTCCCATTGAAATGCATGGGAACGGAATTAATCCGTTCCAGCATTTCAAAAAAAAAAAAAATACAAAAATAAAAAAAAGAGCAAGTCCCACATTGGGACTGCAAAACACACACACACACACACACAAACCACAGAAACATAACCCCCCCAGTCCAAACCCACCCTCCAAAACCCACACAGTTTTTTTTTAAAAAAAGGACTTACCAGTCCGAAGCCTTCAAAGGGTTCGCTGGCTCCGCGCAGCCAGGGGCAAGTGGCCAGGCGCCTGGCCGGCTCTAGCCGCCCGGCGCTCCACTGGCTCCGCTGCCTTTGGAGCTTTCAAAGGGTTTCCTCCGATGTCAGGGAAAGCCCTTTGAAACCTCTGAAGGCACCCATCACGGCGGCGAGAACCCCCAGGGAGGTCTCCCATGGTGGCGTGCAAGCCCTGGGAAACCTCCCTGGGGGTCCCCGCTGCCGCGATGGGCGGCTTCGGAGCTCAGCCCAGCACAAAGAGGACTCAGCATCAGGTGAAAGGAGGGAGCCGATTTCTCCCTGGCCGGCCAGCTTGCTTCCGAAGCCAAAAAGGCAGGGAGAAAGCGCCGGAAGTTCGAACTTCCCACGCTTTCTCCCTGCCTTTTTGGCTTCAGAGATTTCAAAGGGCTTCCTCTGATGTCGGAGGAAGCCTTTTGAAAGCTCCAAAGGCAGGGACGAAGGGCAAGAAATTCAAATTTCCCGCCCTTTCTCCCTGCCTTTTGGGTTCGTAACCCAATCTGCGTTCACAAGTAGGGTTTACTACTTGCAATGAGATCGAGTTCGTAACCCAAAATGTTCGTAACTAGGGCTGTTCGTAAGTCGAGGGCCCACTATAGTAGCATACGTTTTAGGATGGAACTGCATATCAAAGATTGATTTGTCCTGGTTATCTCTTCACCTTAAAAATCTGGTACCCTGCAAAATAATTATAAATTACTTGGTCAACATCAAAAATACCCGGAGAATCATCTAATATATGAAATCCTGTTGAAGTTGGCATAATGTCAAGTTATGGCTGGGGACATATGCAGAGCACTCTGCCCAAGCAGTCAGCACTATGCAATTTGATCACGGGGTTCATGTTGTAGCACAACACCCCTCTGCAGTTTCTCTGTGAATACTACTTCTGCCTTGGCTTCTGCGACTGTCAGTATTTCCAGTATCTACTGTGCAAGAACAATACATACCTGAAGTCTGTGGAGACGCTTCTGCTTCCAGATTGGCAGAAAAACGCTCACTCTGAGCTCCAAGCACTCCCACAGGCAAAGACTGGTCACCAGATGCTAGGTCTCCCTCCAGCTCCTCACTCATGGGAAATGTGATGTCACTGACAGGCTCCTCCTTGATCTTCACAGGTTTCATGTCTTCAGCTGCCTTCTCAGGATTGACAAGTTTTTCATACTCTTCAGAGAGTTGCTTGCTGACCTGTTGATTGTCAGAGGAAAGGGCGGGAAAAGAACAAGGGGAAATGCTGCACCCCTCACCTTCATGTCTAATCCACTCCAGTCAAAGCAATCTGTGACGGGAGACGAAACCTGAGCTGTACTGAAGAGTGGGGACGTCCCTGCTCCTTCAGCATGCTCAACCTTTGTCTCCCTTTGTGTGTGACCTCCTTGGACCTTGCAGAATAGGAAGTGAACGCATCTCTCTGCATGGGGTCCCTGTAGACAGACTCCAGCATCCCACTCATTCCTAAATATTTACTTATTTATTGGAGACATTTATGGTCCCTCTTTTCTACAATGATCTCAAGGCAGCATTCATGATTCTCATCTCCCCCACGTGCAGACAAAACAGAAAAAAAAACCTGATTACCGATTAAAATCAACTTTTTTTTCAGTAGGATATAGACTACAATCTTAAAGACAAAACCCATTTGTTTTGTGACCATCTTACTGAAATGAACAGTAATTGTAGAAACCGTGGAAGGGGGACAAGAACATGAATAGATGAAATGAACTGCAGTAAGCACAAGAGATGCCTTTGACTATGGGGGAAGAGACTTGTGGGTCTAAAATGTTGATATGCTTCTTGTCAGTACCATTCATGTATTAGAAGGCAACTACAATGCAGTAGAAAATCATCAAAAGTATTACATCTGAGATCCAAGCCAAATGTCTTAGGATCAATGTCATCCAAGTAAGTATTGGAGCTGCTGCAGAAAAATGGCTGCTGTCCATACAGCTCCAGCAATATAAGAACTCCAGGTTCACATGAGAGAAATCAATGATACCAGCTTAGCAGGCAGCCACATAGCCGGATTCCTCCCATGTGGCTTTCTAGTTCTTAGAGTAGGACTAGAGCAGTGTGGGAAGGAGTGACATTGTTATGTCTCCTACACCTCTCCATTAATAAAGGAAGCAGCTGACATCTTTACTGATTCCACAAATCTACCTCTCTTCTGCAGTAACAGGAAAGAACTCCTACAAACACCAAGAGCCTCTGCAGGAAGTTGGAACTTGTAGGGAATAACCCCATTTGACATATATCAATGTGATGTTCCTATCTGATTGGTATGTTTGCTCAATAAAGAACAGTAACTATGACTGGAAGGAAGATTTGAACTCACCACTTCCTTTTCTTCTCACCTGTAGCATGTAGCTGTGGTAATCTTTAATCCGGTGTTGCCAGAACTTCTGCAGAGAGAGCACACTCCCAATACCCACTTCATGGAAAACCTGTTCCATGACATCAGGGAAAGGGGTCTGCCCAAGCCGAGCTTCACGGTCCACAGCAAAACGCAGGAGCTTGGTGAACTTCAAGCAGTACTCATGAGCAATGTCTGTCAGGGTCTCTAGGACGCTCTCATTGGCACTTTCAAAGCCTGCATGAGCCAAAATGGTAGCGACAGACTGGTAGAGAAGCTGGCGGCAAGAGGTCCAACTCAGCTCTGTTACTGGCTCTCCTTTGCCCCTGAAAGCAGTCATACAGCACACAAACATGTTGGTGAAAATAAGAGTGAACATGAAATTTAAGCAGGACACAAAAAAGCTTTTTTAAAAACAATTTTTCTGTGTTTAGCAAAATGCCTGGTCAGACTTCAAAGCTAGCTTTTCTTTCTATAGGAAAAATACGGACCAAAGAAGATGCTATTGCACATTTTTCAAAGTTCAAAGTAAAGTTTGTTTTGAGGTACCATACCTAACTCCTACAACTTTACCTCAAGGCAATATATTAATATTCATTACAATGAGGTAAAAATACCCTGTTTCTTAAGTGAGTTGGCATCTGAATGGATAAAAAGCCTCACATTGCATTATTTTGTACCATTCAGTCCAAAGTATTACTGAATCAAGATCATTCTGGACACGGGAAACAATTAAAGCTTTGTGCATTTATCAGTCACAGCTCTAATGTTTTAGGATTTAACATGTTCCACCTTAAAGATTTACATGCTAAGTGCAAATTTTAGAATCAAACTGCATATTTGAGATTGACTGGGCTCTGTTGTCTCTTCAGCTTAAACATCTAGTACTCTGCAAACTCACTATAAATTACTTGAGCAACTTTAAACAATCCAGAGAATCAAATAATAGCCAAAATCCTGTTGACGTTGGCATTAATGTCAAGTTGTGGATGTGGAAGCATACAGGGCATTATGCCCAAGCAATCAACACTAGAGATGGAATCTTACTGCAGTTCGGTACTTTGGCATGGTTTGGTAGATTGGGTCCATAGGGGTTACGCAGGCACCCTGGATTCTGCACCTTGCTCCTCCCATGGGCACCCGCTCAGAGAAGGAAGCAAGACGGGGAAGCCTGCAGTGCTGCATACCCTGTAGGGATAATGGGACTTTAGCCCAAGACACCCAGAGGGTCCCCACTTTTAAAAGCCTTGTCTAATTCGTATCTTAAGATACAAGGGTTGAACTTGAGCTTCCACAAGTGAAGCATGTGCTCTACCACTGAACTGATGTTTGGCTGGTATGACAGTGGACAAAACTGGACAATGAATGCTGGACTGCTCCTTCCCCCCCCCCCCAAGAAATACAGAGACTTCATTAGTGACCAATCTGTGAAGCCAGATAAATCAGGTGTGGCCTTGGGGGTTAATGTTTCAGACATCATAAATGGGGTCATTTCCCCCCATTTCAATCAGCTAAAACAGCAAGCTGCTATAGGCTAAACACCCCATCCCACCCCAGCTGAACTGATGAGAAACATGAATGAACATGAGGCAAAGGCTTTCCCATTTTCAGTAGCAAAACCTTCTGGCTCATTTCCTGTTTAACCAGCATGTTAAGAGCAAGAAATCTGGGCTCATGTGGAATGTACAGAAACAGCCAAGGTCTGCTGAAGTGAAATAATGGGTTAAAATAATAGTCCTTTCCAAAGATGAGCAGTATGATGGGAGCAGGTTTAGGAAAGCAGAGCCTGCCTCCTCACAACTGCTTCACATTTATGAAACATTTCACCACAGACCTCTCTTTTCTGGCAAATGAAGTACCATCTGATAGAAATTGCCTTCCAGATGAAATAAAGGAGGGTGCTAGTGAACTGGAAACAAGTTTGAATTAATTATAGAGTACAATGATGATGTGTGTCATCTAAGTATTCATAAAATAAATAAATAAGGAAGCTTTTTTCTGGGGGGTGAGGTAGTTCAATCTCCCTCCCAGCAGCCATGAATTTCATCTCTGCATTCTCTCCCCACTGTGTTGGCCTGTCAGTGAAAAACAGCAGCAGTTGTCAGCTGGACTTAAACTACTGTCAAACTAACAGTTTCTGGCAACACTTGCAAACAATGACTGGACCCAACCTTGCAATTAGCATCACTGCCTTGGGGCCCTGACACCTGACAACACTCCCACTGAATTGTGGACGAGGCAACCAATGTTCCTCTGGTCTGTTCCTTCTGCAGCCTTGTCACCCATCTCTTTCCTCCCCACAACAGGCATACACAGCAATCAAACTCCTCACCACTGAAAGTGAGGGAAAGTGTAGACAATAAAACCAGAGAGGAAACTGGCTAGAAAAGCTGCAGTTCCCTTGTCACCTACTTTAACAAGTGACCCAAAGATCCACAGAGAGTCTTTGGGTTGCAGGAGAGACTTGCAAATTTGTAAATGGGCCTATAGATAACGACTAGAATCCTGTTGCATATTTATGCTGCCATAATTTCCTCAGCAAGTTAAGAAGTCAGTATAAGCATCTGCTATTCCAAAGTCATGCATCTGATACAAACGGCCACACCAACTTTTCAACTTGTGGCAATCTGCCGTGGAAAGTTACATCAGCACAATTGCACTGGCAAGCATAAGTAATAGGATTTTTGCCAATATTGCCAATATTCCACATGTAACACAGATCTGGTTTCCTGAAACAGGGTTACCATTATTTCCCAGTGGCTGTATGTCTGTTGGCTTGAAGGAATAAAAAGGCATATTTTTCTCCGAAGCAGCCAAGGTAATTCGTTCTTTTTGTCAAAGGATGGTCTTTCTTATATGCCTGCTTCTGATCATCGAGCACCAATTGCATTATGGGGAAAGAATCCGCAAAGGCACCAAAATTCCCTTGTCAGTTCAGTTGGTGTGATCATCCCACAGGAAAATGTGCCATTAAATACCACTGGAACCACAGCTAGAACGGGCAAGTGAAAGTATAACTAGTACAGTTGCTAGGGAAATGAGTGAGCCATTTGCATCAGTGGTTCCTAACATTGGGCCTTCAGATGCTCTTGGCCTACAACTCCCAGAAGCCTTTGCCACTAGCTATGCTGATCATATTTCTGGGAGCTGTAGTCCAAGAACATCTGAGGACCCAAGGTTGGGAACCACTGATGCAAATGGCTCACTCATTTCCCTAGCAACTGTACTAGTTATACTTTCACTTGCCCGTTCTAGCTGTGGTTCCAGTGGTATTTGATACAACAAATAGCCTTGCTATTTACTTCCCTTTAAAGAAGGGATACACATTCCAATATCCAGCAAGAGGGCACATTCACAGGAAGCAATTGTTTAAAACATAAAATGAAGCAACATGTTACTAAAGGTTTCCTTGAGCCATGTTATGGGACACCTAGGCCCCAGCCTATAGATGCCACAATACATGAATCCAAAACAAAAGTACAGTGGTGCCCCGTATAGCGAGGTTAATCCGTTCCGGATTAACCGTCGCTATACGGAATCATCGCTAAACAGGTAGGGGAAATGTATTGGAACGCATTAAACTTCGTTTAATGCGTTCCAATACCTTTGTTACTTACCCGTTCAGCGAGGATTCCAGGTGCCGGCAGCCATTTTCGCGCCTTCGCTAAGCGAGGGCAGGGTGCGAAAACGGCTGCCGGCAGCCATTTCTGGACTTCCGGCGGCCCCTTTGGTACCGCCGACCGGCCGTTTCGGGGGTCGAAGATCGGGTATGTTTCCGTATAGCGATCCCGAAAAAGCGATCGCTATACGGAAACATCGCTATACGGTGCACTCGTTAAGCAAGGCACCACTGTAATATCCAGAGGCAGGCAATACTTTTCGGAACAACAAAAATTGTTCGGAATTGTGGGATTTCAGTTGAGGCTCATGAAAGTTGTGTTGTTATGTGCTATCCAGTCTCAATTAAATATCAGAGAGCCTAATAGGATTTTCAAGGTGAGATATATAAGTTCCATCCCACCATCAATGAATTTCCATAGCTGAGTGGAGATTCAAACCCAGATCTCCTGAGTCCCAGTCCATCATTTTATCTATCATACTACATTAGTATTTCTCATGAAAGTACTGCCTGCCATTTTGGTTTTGTTTTGTTCTCATGGACCTGTGCAACAATTTATATACAGCGGTGCCCCGCTTGACGACGACCCTGTTAGATGAAATCGCTTTACGGTGAGTTCCTATCAGGTTTTTTTTGCTTGACGTCCATTAGGTGCCTGCTTCATGAACCGTTTGTTCGCAAAAAACGATTTTCTGGCTCCGCAAAATGGCTTCCCTTCATAAAATGGCTTCCTTCCGTTCGCAAAATGGCTGTTTTCTGGACCCCTGCTTCGGAACACAGCGATTTTAAACGCTGATTGGAGGTTCTCTATGGGCAATCTTCGCTGGACGATGAGGTATTTCCCCATTGGAACATATTAAACGGTTTTCAATGCATTCCAATGGGATGTTTTTTCGCTTGACGACGATTTCGCTTAACAGCAATTTTCCTGGAATGGATTATCATCATCAAGCATGGCACCACTCTCTGTGTGTATGTGTGTGTGTGTGTGTAAATTGTTGCACAGGTCCATGAGAACAAAACCAAACCAATGTATATATACCAATGTGTATATTACAGTGGGGTCTTGACTTGAGAACTTAATCCGTATTGGTTCTCAAGTCAAAAAGTCTGTAGGTCAAGTCTCCGATTAATCCTGTAACAGGCCGTTTTTGTTCCATTTTGGTTTTTTTCTGGTCTATAAGTCAATTCTCAGGCTGCAAGTCAAACCTAAATTTTGCGGCCAGAGAAGTCTGTAACTCAAAAAGTCTGTAAGTCAAGCCGTCTGTAAGTCAAGGGTCCACTGTAGATTGTTGCACGGGTCCATGAGATCCATACACACAGACACACACAAACACAAATCTAAACAGATACCAACACACACCTGTAAAAGTCACTTTCTGGATCACTGTGCCTTAGCTGGAATGGCATTTTGGGTGTTTTACTATCTAGTGGAAGCAAGTCATCAGGGAGAGGTGGGGAAACTGGGCGGGTTGGCAGTGGCTCACTTTCTTCCATTTTGATGCCTTCCACTTGCTGCTGGTTCTGAGTCTGAGCCATGGCAATCAGACTACGCAACCGTCGGTTGTGCTGTATAAGCTGGATGGTGTGAATTGTGAGGCTACAGGGCTCTGAAGGGATGTCCAACATGGTAGTGGGCCTGGGCTTGTTGGCTGAAGGCTGATGCAGTGGAGGATCCTGGACCTCCACAGTACGAAACTCCCGCTGAAGCAAGTCAAAGGAGCTGCGGTTGGCTTGGTTAGAGGAGATTGGGATCTCACCCCAGTAGCGCAGCATCTTCTTGTTGGCTCACTTGATGGTTTGCACTAAAGCAGTTCAGATGACAAAAAAACTCCTCTAGGAATTACAGAGACTCTGCAGCTTACTTGTCAGGAAAATGAACTTTTGGACCTAGTTGAAAAACTGGGAAGGGGTGTGTTCTCAAAATTTCTCACTCACAGCCAAAGGCCCCATTCAGCTGTAAATTCTTTATGAGATAGCTGGACAACATCTTCATTCAAGAATTACATTCTCAATGCCTCTAGAAAGACAATTAGGAGAAAAATTATCTTACAAAGCATGTTTATATTCACATTGCCATGAACAATCTGAATAACTGCTACCTTTTATATTTTCACGCAGCAGCCATGATTTCTTTGTCACACACGTTTTTGATGCAAATTAATATCAAGTAACCAAGCACTGCCTACCTTTCTTAATTCCAGGTATCATGTTATCCCTATAATCTTAAGAATAACTACTACAAAACTGCAGATTTGGGGGCGTTTCATCATGCCTAGCCATGTCTTTTTCTCTCTCTTCCACCCCAACAAGTGTTTGTGTATTTTCCCCCAGTGACCCCTGTGTATTTTGCCTCTCACACAAGTCACCTTTGGACATGACTTGTACTTTTCCACTTTTTTGCTGCCACCAGAGGATATTATCCTCACTATGTCAATTAAAAATCTCACACCCTAGCTGCCAAATAACACAAGGTTTATTTAAGGATTAATAAGTGGAACACAGAAGGAAAATCATGGATGTTCTATTATCTTTCATTCAGTAAAAGTGTACAGTATTTCATTACTTACGTATAAGCTTGCTTGTATTCAGTTACGGTACTTTAATCAAGGTCTCAATATATTCTCTGTCTATGTACTTCTAATTCCTTTTAACTCTTTAATATTCTCTAACAAACCAACTGTCCATTATCCTGTCTAAACACTTCACAGTCTTTTCTCTAACTCTCTCTCTGTCACACTCTAACTGCCTCTCTGGCACTCCCAGTTCTCTTGACCCCACCCCTCCTGTCCTGTCATTGGCTCCTGTGCCAGACCCCTAAAATGACTGACAGGAGTGACGTGTGGGCTGTCCACCACAATTGCCATGGCAGATCTTCAGAAAAGCTTTGTTGGATTTTAATTGTGCCTAATGCTGCTAGTGATTTTAGATCCTAAAGAGAGAATTGCATATCCCTTTAATTTTAAAGCCTTTAATCTTTACGTTCTCGTGTTCACCATGGCAATCTTGTCAAGTAGATCATAATGCTCAGTTTTGAAGTTCACTTAAGTCTAAAATTGTAAACTAAAGGTATTACACTTGACACACACTCATGCACATAATTATATTTATGTTATGTGTCATCAAGCAGAATCCAACATATAGTGAACTTAATAGTTTTTTTTTTAAAAAAGGTAACTGATATCTTTAAAGAGTGGTTTTACGATTTCCATCCATACAGAGATTCAAATCTTGGTCTCCTGAGTCCTAGATTATTCTTTCCACTACACGACAATGGCTGTCTGATCTCTCTCTCTCTCTCTCTCTCTCTCTCTGTGTGTGTGTAGCTATGCTAAGTCATCACACGTACCGTGTTTCCCCAAAAATAAGACTGGGTCTTATATTAATTTTTGCTCCAAAAAGCACATTAGGGCTTATTTTCATGGGATTTTTTTTCATGTACAACAATCTACATGTATTCAATTACCCTGTTTCCCTGAAAATAAGACCTAACCTGAAAATAAGCCCTAGTATGATTTTTCAGGATGCTCATAATATAACCCCTACCCCAAAAATAAGCCCTAGTTAAGTGAAACCCACCCTCCACCACTGTGCAGCAATCAGAAGATGACATGACTGTATTTGAATAAACATAGATTGTTGTACATGAAAAAAAGAAAACATCCCCTGAAAATAAGCGATAAAGCTTTTTTTTTTGGAGCAAAAATTAATATAAGACCCTGTTTTATTTTTGGGGAAACACAGTACAGTCATGCCATCTTCTTCTGGTTGCTGCACAATGGTGGAGGGCAGGGTTTCACTCAACTGGGGCTTATTTTTGGGGTAGGGCTTATATTACGAGCATCCTGAAAAATCATACTAGGGCTTATTTTCAGGTTAGGTCTTATTTTGGGGGGAAACAGGGGATATTTCTATATGGATCTCAGCAAGCACAGTGATGGTGGTGTGTCCAGGATTGAGAAGCAGGAGCATAGCAAATACTGTCATTCTTGATCCACAGGTAAGGACAAATTTTTGTACCTAATGATATCAATAATGTTGAATGGCACTTTTGTGACACCTCTAATCCATGCAGTCTCTTGCTAGCTGTTAAGAGAGGGCTAAAGCAGGGCAAGGAAAGGGTTAGATAGCTTCCCTGTAGAGCAGCGGCCTTAATTAGTGGGCAAGGGAAACAAATTTCCTTTAGTGACATTTTTTAATTGAGAAATTCTGTTTTATAGTGTGTTTATAGAAAGAAAGATAATCATTTAACCAAGTTGTTTCATGTTCTTACATAACTGACAGGTATTAATTAATTAATTATTTAATTAATTGTCCCACCCATCTAGTGACAGAGCACTACTCTGGGCAAGCTAAGAGCAATAAAAGAAATAACCCATTCACCAATCATAAAACCCAAATAATAAAAACAGATGGGGGGATGGGGAAACGCACCTCTCAACAGTATTGTGAACCGACTACAGTGGTGCCTCGCATAGCGAGGTTAATCCGTTCCGGATTAACCTTCGCTATGGCGAAACATCGCTGTACGGAACGTAAAAGCAATAGGCTGCAAAACTCACCGTTCAGCGAGGTTGCTCCATTGCAGCAGCCATTTTCGCGCCCTCGGTAAGCAAGGGGAGGGCGCGAAAACGCTGCGCGCGGCCATTTCGGGGCTTCCGGCGGCCATTTTGGAGCCACCGAACAGCTGATCCGCTGCATCGCTTTGTGAACATCATTAAGCGAAACGCTTACCGATCTTCGCAAAGCGATTTTTGCCCATAGGGGCCATCGGTATGCGATTGCATTTGCGATCGCTAAAACCTAATCGCTATGCGATTTCGTCGTTCTACAGTACACTCGTTAAGCGAGGCACCACTGTACTGTATTCTCATTTTATGGAGGGTAAATAAATGCAGCTAATCAGTCAAACAGGGGATGGGAAGAATAAACATTGAAATCCTGGGTGTCAGTGAACTAAAATGGACGGAAATGGGCGAATTCAATTCAGTCGATTACCATATCTACTATTATGGGCAACAATCCCGTAGAAGAAAGGGAGTAGCCCTCATAGTCAACAAAAGAGTGGGGAAAAGCTGTACAAGGATACAATCTCAAAAATGATAGAATGATTTCAATAAGAATCTAAGGCAAACTTTTCAACATCACAGTAATCCAAGTTTATGCACCAACCAGCGATGCTGAAGAGGCTGAAAATGACCAATTCTATGAAGACTTACAACACCTTCTAGAACTGACACCAAAGAAAGATGTTCTTCTCATTATAGGGAATTGGAATGCTAAAGTAGGGAGTCAAGAGATAAAAGGAACAACAGGTAAGTTTGGCCTAGAAGCTCAAAACGAAGCAGGGCAAAGACTAATAGTTTTGTCAAGAGAACAAGCTGGTCATCACAAACACTTTTTTCCAACAACACAAGAGGTGACTTGACACATGAACATCACCAGATGGGCAATACCCAAATCAGATTGATTACATGCTCTGCAGCCAAAGATGGAGACACTATATAGTCACCAAAAGCAAGACCCGAAGCAGATTCTGGCTCCGATCATCAGCTTCTTATAGCAAAACTCAAGCTTAAACTGAAGAAAGTAGGAAAAACCACTGGGCTAGTCAGGTATAATTTAAACAAAATCCCTTATGAATACACAGTGGAAGTGAGGAACAGATTTAAGGAACTCGATTTGGTGGACAGAGTGCCTGAAGAACTATGGATGGAGGCCCGTAACATTGTACAGGAGGCAGCAACAAAAACCATCCGAAAGAAAAGGAAATGCAAGAAAGCAAAGTGGCTGCCCAACAAGGCCGTACAAATAGCAGAGAAGAGAAGGGAGACAAAATGCAAGGGAGATAGGGAAAGTTACAGAAAACTGAATGCTGACATCCAAAGAAAAGCAAGGAGAGACAAGAGGGCCTTCTTAAACGAACAGTGCAAAGATATAGAGGAAAATAATAGAAAGGGAAAAACCAGAGATCTGTTCAAGAAAAC